GCTTCTGATGTGTAGTGGAACAGCAGCTGAAACAGTTATTCTTGAAGAGTAACTAAACTCACATCTCTCAATAGTAGACTGGCATTTAATAAAAGGATATGGAGAAGAATGGGATGCTGAGATGAAGCCACACACACACACTCATAGCCAAGAAGAATGGACAGCTGAATTCAAAAAACATCAACAATTTCCAGAATTTAAAATCCTGAATCATGACATGACACTAATGGAATTCAGGTGTTTCTGGTACATGGACTGCTCTCACCCAATGTGAGGCCGAACTATTGACCTTATGTACATCCTACTTCACAAATGAGTCTGTCAGATATGCTAAGCCTATAGGCTGAAGATGATGCCCCAACACTGCGGAGAAACCTCAGATGATTGTCCAGGCAGCTGGCTGTTTCTGTCAACTCACATTTTTTTTTGGAAGCTGCTTGCATGCACTTCATGGTTTTATTTTTTTTTTAGGTAATATTATTTCCTTCTTGGGTCTCTGAGGGAGTTGAAGATTAGTTAGTTATAGTTGAAGATTAGTTAGAATAGAAAGTGAAATAGGTACATTTTGGACTTACCAAAATAGGATAGATAATGGAATTATTTTCTCTGAATTTGTCAAATACAAATGGACTAGACATTGTTTAGGTATTTTTACTTGTATATATGGTATATAGTTATTGTACTTTTGTATGTAGTTTTATGTTAGTTATAACCTTTTTCCTTTTTTCTTTTTATTAAAATAGAAAAGGGGAAATATGGTGATATTTTAATTGTACTGAAATGTGATTTTATTTGTATGTTAATAAATAAAGTTGCCTGGGGGTCAGATCTAATAGCAAGCCATAGCAGAAACTGGGTGGTGGTGGTGCATGCCTTTAATCCCAGCTTTTGGGAGGCAGAGCTAGGCGGATCTCTGTGTGTTCAAGGATACAGTCAGCATGGAGATACACGCCTTTAATCTCAATACCAACCATAGAAGACCTGGAGGTCTTTACAGACAGGCAGTGACAAGGAGGTCATGTGGTCAAGGAGGCAATGGGAAGGCAGAATAGAAAGTCTATAAAAAAAGACAAACAGACAGGAAGTAGGTCTCTTGCTGAAGAGGACAACAGCAGCAGTGAAGGGTAAGGTTTTTAGCTCTGACCTCTTGGGTTTTCATCTCTGCATTGGCTCTGTGTTTCTTATTTAACAAGACCGTTCATCTACAATGACCAAAGAAGTAAAGGAAGCATGGAATCAACTTCCAAATTCACATTATCTAAGAATTTATCCAACGTATAATGTGAAAGAACCAATCAAAAATTCCAAAATTTTAAGTTCAATGTTGAGTTAGCAGAGCAATTGGGAAACAATCAATTTGGGTATAGCTGACAACAATGATATCATCAATTATCAAGTACCAACATTTATGGAATTACCACACACAAAAAAAAGCAAAATTAACATATGTCTCAAATTTAAAGGTAACACTGGAGAGAAATCAGAATAAGAAAATATATCCTTTTCAATTGGCACAGTATAGTACCCAGTACACATAGAGTACTGGTTTCAGAAGGGCACTTGTATATAAGACTGTACCTACACCACCTGCCTTCTCCTCCCATCTCATTAGTCCTCTTAACTGACAAAGAAGCCTCTACTTTGTTCACATCATATACACATAAGTAATTTTATTTTTAAATTAAAAACCTGGACCTTCAAATGAAAGAAATCACCTGGTACTTGTCTTTTTCAATGTAACATAAGACATTTAACATGGCAATTATATTCACTTATGTGGCGATATTTTGTTCCCCAAAATATTATTGTGCACCCTAATAAACTTATCTGGGGTCAGAGAACAGAACAGCCACTAGATATAGAGGCCAGAAAATGGTGGCACACACGCCCTTAATACTAGTATTCCAAAGGCAGAGATCCATCTGGATCTCTGTAAGTTCAAGGTCACATTGGAAACAGCCAGGCATGGTGACTCACGCCTTTAATCCCAGGAAGTGATGGCAGAAAGAAGAAAAGTATATAAGGCATAAGGACCAGGAACTAGCCTGGTTAAGGCTTCTAGTAACAGTTCAGCTGAGACCCATTTGGATGAGGACTCAGAGGCTTCCAGTCTGAGGAAATTGGCGAGGTGAGGTGGCTGTGGCTTGTTCTGTGTCTCTGATCTTCCAGCATTCACCCCAATACCTGGCTCCGAGTTTGTTTTTATTAATAAGACCTTTTAAGATTCATGCAACATACTTACATCTATTTTCTGCAAATGACATAATCCCATGCCTCTTAATAGTTTACATAGTGTCTTATTTAGGATTTCTATTGCTGTGACAAAACACTATGATCATAAACACCTTGTAGAGGAAAGACTTTATTTCAGCATACAGTTCTCTCTTCACACTCAGTTCCTGGGGCAAGTCAGGACAGGAACTGAACAGGGTAAGAACCCAGAGTCAGGAGAGGATGCAAAGGCCATGAAGGGGTGATGCTTACTGTCTCGCTCACCAAGGCTCATTCAGCCTTCTTCCTTACAATCCCTAAGGTTTGGAACAACCTTTTCTGGGTTTGTTGTTCTTCTAATATACAGAATCTTGCCCTGTTGATGAGACTTCCTCTGGCTGACTGAGTTCAGCCTTTTTTTCCTCTCTTCACATATCCATGCCATACAGCTAGGCATCAGGAGCCCTTTAGCTTTGCCCACCAGATCAAGGACTGAACCAGACAAACTACTAAGATTTGAATGTCTTTCTTTCTGGGTATATTGTCCCTAAGAAGGTTCTATACACTTTACTCTCACTGGTCTTATCTGTCCAGTGAGTTTGGTGAGGAAGAGATAATTAGAGATAAAACAAAAAGCAAAAAACTATCTGGACTGAGGGTGGGAGCATGCCAGAGGGTTAAGCTATAGTGTGTTCTAGTATGCAGTGTCAGGAACTAGATAATTGGTGGAAGGGAACCTCCAAGACTCTATGGATAGCCAGGCACAGAATGCAGAATGAACATGGCACTCAGGAAATGGAGAAACTGCTGGAGAAGGATAAAAGGCAAGAAACTCTAAGAAGGGATATCGAAGTGTATGAGGCTAGAGATGGGTCATGGGGCTCTGTAGGACACACTACTCACAAGCAGGAGACCCAGGGTATGCAGTGAGTAACACAATGCATTAATTCTACAAATACTGCCTGTCATGGTGGAGCCAAACACAGCTAAACAATGAGGGAATGCAGGAGAAGCCAACACACTTGTGGGGATCAAGGGCCTCGAGCCTAATGAAGAGGCTCCAGGGAAGACACAGGAAACTCATTTCTGAGATTATAAACTCCTTCCCCTAAAGAAGACAAGTCAGGAAAGCCTATAACAAGCGAAAGACACAAATGGTGACAGCACAAAGGACAGACACAACCCTATGACCAAATAGGTGCCAAGAGAGCTGATACCCAAGTGCCTATAGTCCTTTAGTCCTGGGAACTGATGTAGTTTACTAGAACTCCCAACCCCATGTTCTGAATCTTGAAGGCTGATCCAAGAATTTATGAAATGGGGCCAAGTGTGTGCTAGAGTTCAGATCACACCCCCACCTAATAGGTCAGAGGCTCCAAGATGGATGTCAGACCTCTAATTTCCCTTGTCTCAGCCATCCTGTATGTCAGTCTGAGGTGAGGAACACTGCCTACAAAGGAGCTAAAGTCATACGCTGGGTCCTTACTCCAGGACATTGCAGCCTTGGGGTTTTGACAGAACAAAAAGCCATTCTGGTTCTTTAGCCACTCCACCCTGTTGGGTCCATGAAAAGCAGTGGTTCACAGGGAAGAGAGGAACATGAAGTGCTGCTACAAGACCTGGGAGAAGAAGGGAGAGAACTTGTATCTCCTGCATCATTGGGATCACACTATAATACATTTACTTATGGGTTCTGGTGAGGAGAGAAAGTTGTTCCCTAAAGATAAATTGGCCCCAATACAGGTTAATACTCAAAAGTGAAAACAATACTTCATTGGCTCTATGATACTGAAGCTCAGCTGTAAAACTGATGAGATCTGTGTTGTCTGGGCATACCCTTGGGGTTTATCTTAGTTAGATTAAGTTAGATGGGAAGACCTGTTCCCTGTGGGTACAATCATTCCCTTGGATGGGATCCTGGACAGTATAACAGGAAGAAAAGTCAGGAGAGTACATTCATTCATTTTTCTTTGCTTCTGGGCTCTGGTTGCAAGGTCAGTCTCCCTCAAGTTTCTGTCTCTATCTACTGCTTCCCAATTATGGACTCCAAACTCAAACTCTATGGCAAAGTAAACATTTCCTTGCTCACTGCCTCTGGAAAAGTAATCCTAACAAAACTTCCCAGGTGAGCTATAACAACAGTCAAACGTTTGGGCATTGGGACTGGCAGGGAAAGAATGGTTTATGAATTCTGGGAAATACAGTCTCTAAATAACAGAGCCAGAAGCAAAGCACTCTCAACCCTGCCAGTGTTAGCCATTACGCATTTGAAAAAGGAAAAGCACAGAAACCTCACAGGTTTCTGTGTCCTTACTGATTTTTCCCACTCTTTTAGCCTCCCAAGCACAAGGTCTAAGATGACTACTCCTAGGGCCCTCTCCCAGTGGACCTGACTAGGAAGGCCTTTGTCTAACTCAAATTTCATCCTCACTCTTGAGATTCTGGACATTAATCAGATCATTCTTGAGACTTTCCATATCTGCATCATCCATGTCTGGGACAAAGTGACTGAAAGGGTGGCTCAGTCACTCATGCCTACCCTGGGTGAAGCCATTCTCACTCATACAAGGTAAGTCTCAGCTTTCCTACGATTACTTAATGAAAGGCAAAGGTTACCTTTAACCTTTAAACCTATTTATCCTATTTAAATTCTGTGGTTGTATTTCTACAGATGAGTATCCACACATTAAAAACTACAGCAAAACATCTCTATAGATTTACATATAGTGCATAGCATAAAGGGCATCTACTACACATAATTGAACATAATTACTGAATTCCCTCAGTACCTTCTGTTTTAATGTGTGATGTTTCTCTGGAGGTACTGGAGATGACTTGAGGTCCATCCATATCAAGCGGGATCACGGTTGTTTGGATACACCTTTTCTTTAGTAATGCAGAAACTGGGAATGCAGTCACAACAGGAAGAGTTATGTTAGCTTCATGGCAGACAAACAAAGGAAACTAAGAATAGTTGAGTGTTTGTATATTTGATCTCCTTATTTATTTTCAGGTAAGTCACTGTAATTAAAATGGTGCTTCAGGAAGATCACCGAGTCAGCATCCAATTAATTATGTATCACATGATGATGTAGATAAAGTCTATTATGGTCACATGATGCTGTAGGTAAAGTCTAAATTAGCACAGATGTGACAATAGAGAAAGAAGAGCAACACGACTGTGTTATGTTGGTGTGGTGACTGATAGGCAGCATTCAAATCCCAGTTAGAGCATCAGGACACAGTGAAATCCATGCAATCCCACTGTGATCACATCTTTGCACTGGAAACTAAAAATTTCATGAGGACCCCCAGGAGTCTTATTGGTGTAAAACATATGTTAAAGCATAAGGAAAAGCACAAGGATTGTACAAGTGTTCTATGATGTTTGTGAACTGTGAAAAAATTCAATTAGACAAAATGACTGAATCCTGAGCAAGTGTTTAGTTTGCTACAGGACAATGACCAACAGTTGTTTAATTTTCATTCTTTGCTTATCCAGGATATTTTACAGCTCATGCAGGAGATACAGTATCACTTTAAGTGAGTTTTGAAGGTAAGGAGCTGTGTATTCCTCTAACTATTTTAACTTTGGGTACCATATTAATCATATCCATGATGATCTGATCAAATTCCCTGACAGATATAACCAAAGAGATAGATGCTCTGTCTTTGATTCCTGACTCCAATTATGTATTTCCTCCAAAATAAGTTGTAGAAGATCTCTGAATTGTAAACACAGCCTTTCTCCAACATCTTCATCCTGCCAGGGACCTCTCAGCAAGTGATTCTGATCATCAAGTACCCACACTGAGAAGTGACTTATGCTTGTGTGTCTTCTGTGATGACTCAGAGTCTAAGTTGTTCTAAATGAAATTGTCACATGAAGGTTGGACAAAAAACAAGTTCCTTTAAATTGTCCAACCCTGTCCAACCCCTGAACATAACCTGACATTAAAAGGGGTCTGGTGCTTCATGATGTAACTACTCTCTGGGTGCCAATAGATAAGAGAAGTGGCTGCACAAGTCATGACTGTGCATCATATCTGCTCACTGCTTTCTCATCAAAATTTTTAATAAAATACTTGATTCTTTGAAAATTCCATAAAATGTATTTTGATCATATTCATCTCTACTCATCACTCTCACTCTCTTGATTACATTCATATCTCTCCACTCCTTACCAGCTCTGTGTCCTTTTTATTCTCCCTAAATAACCTACCAAGTTCAGTTTATGCTAATAACATACTTATGGGCATGTGGCTATCTTCTGAACTTTGGTCAACCTGCTATGGGCAAAGTCAGTTTCTATATACTCTCCTTCCATCAACAGATCTTATATGGGCCTCTTCTATTTCAGTTTATTTTTGTTTTTTCATTGATTATTTGTTTTGTTTTATTGGTAAAAAGGGCCTTTAGCCTAGGCTGGCCTAAAATTCACTATTTAGAAAAAGCTGGTCTTGAACTTATAACTTTCTTGCATCTACCACCTAAATCAAAGATTACAGACTGTGCAGTCCTGGGTACATTATATGGAATACTTGGGATGAAACTCAGGTTTTTAGACACGATAGGCATGTACAAATCCAATCCCCATAATAGCTCCACTTAACACATCAGCTCACTGGTGAGAGCCTGAGCATGCAGACAACACCAATGTGGATAGAATGATGCCCAGTGACACTCTTTCCTGCTGCCTATGTAAATGCCCCAGAGCAAAAATGGAATAGGCAACATGGAGTCTAACTACCTATGACAGGAAGTAGCCTTGTTGCTCAGAGTCTAGCTCTCCTTTAAAAGTTTATTGTACAAGATCAAAGAGGTCAACACTGTGGCTTGCAGGGAAGAGAAGTTCAGAAACCCTTCTCACCCCTAACTGAGAAGCTATTGGCAATTTATGACTTTTGTGTGAAGGAAGGACAGTTTAATTAAAGGTGTTGTCCCTGGAAGGTGAATCCAGAGTCAGTGGATGCCCCTACATGTTTGAGTATATGTTTAGCACAAAATGGACTAGCAAGTTATTTTTTAAGGATAAAATTTGGGAAAAGGTAAAATGAGAGAGGATCTATGGACAGTAAGAGTCATGGGGGATGAATAAGATAAAATACAGTGAATAAACTTATCAAAATTAATAAAATTATATTAACAATTTTAAAAGAAATAAAAATTTAAATGTATATTTAAGGAAATATATATAATTCTCATTATCAGTAAGCAGCTTATATCACAGTGGTTCATCACACAAAAGACAACCAGTATTTACACAATTCTCATCTAAATTGTGTCTTAAGAGGGTGATTCTACAGTACATACCACATTTTCGTTTATTATATACCACCTGTAATTGAAATGAAAGAAAATATTTAATATTTATATCATGTTGAGTAGTATTTGTAAAGATCTTTGATCCTTCCATAGTTGAAATGGAGACTATATTATATTCCTTATTTGATGATGTAACAGAAGATCTGGGACTCTATACTTTGTGCTAAAGACTAGTACCTTTTACAATTTTTTCTGAGTCAAGGGCAGATCAGGATAACCTGTCTGGCCTCTACTGAAGGTTTCCTAACCTACATCACTTAACATCTATGAAAACTTGTATTTTTATTTTTTTTATTTTTCATCTTTCAATGTAGTTCTTTTTTTGTTTAATTTTTTTTCATTTTACATACCAACCACAGTTCCCTGTCCCATCCCTCCTCCTGTTTCCCTTTCCCCCCCTTTCCCCCCTCTGACCTACCCCTCATCCACTCCTCCAAAAGGGTAAGGCCTCCCACAGGGAGTCAACAAAACCTGGTACATTCAGTTGAGGCAGGACTAACAACCCCCCACCCCCAACCCACATCAAGGCTGAGCAAAGCATTCCATCATATGGAATGGGCTCTAAAAAGCCAACTCATGAAAACTTATATTTTTCACTAAGATATTTTTTGTTTCTAGAGACTATGGTAGAAATAATTTGGCATATGACCCAAAGTTGGATATGTCAGGAGCTTAGTGTGTCCAGCAACAGGAAGATCTTTTTGTTTGTTTGTTTGTTTGTTTGTTTTTTCAACACAGGGTTTTTCTGTGTAGTTTTGGTGCCTGTCCTGGATCTCACTCTTTTGACCAGGCTGGCCCAGAACTCACAGAGATCTGCCTGGCTCTGCCTCCCGAGTGCTGGGATTAAAGGTGTGTGCCACCACTGCACATGAGGATCTTTAAATACATGATGTACTGGGCTAGAAAGATGACTTAGATGTTAAGAGCACTGGTTGCTCTTCCAGAGGACCTGGGTACAATTCCCAGTACCCATGTGACATCTCACACCTGTCTGTAACTCCAATTCCAGGGCTTGTGATACTCTCATACAGACATACATGCTCATACTGGATTTGATTTCTAGCACCCACATGGTGTTTCTGCCCTGCTTGGCACCAAGTATATACATGGTGCAAATATACATACGCAGGCAAAATACACATTTAAAACAACAACACATGATGAACCTGATCAGTTTCATGATTAAAATGTGATACCCACTGAAACATAAGGGGACCAGTGAGGTAACCTTTCTATCTCAGAGAAAGAAAAGGCCCTTTTACCTCCAGCATCCTCACTGGTGGCTTTTGCTGGTCCACTGGTGAAGCTGTACCGCCAGCTGGTTGAGGGGACGCTAGGAGGACAGAAAGTGACTGTCAGCTCACAGGACTGCTTACTATTTCCACTGGAATTTACTTGATGTGGGTAAAAGTGCATGGACTTAGTACATGTGACTAAACCTAATGAACAAGATGGTTCTGCTGCTGCAGCTGGACTGTCTTCCCATAAAGCAAACTAAAGCAGAGGGAAGACTTGGAGAAAAACGAGGATGTACCTTTGTGTTGTATAATATTTTGTTTGTGTTCTGACAAATAAAGCTTGCCTGGAGATCAGAGGACAAAGCTAGCCATGAGTTAAGAAGCTATGCAGTGGTGGTTCACACCTTTAATCCCAGCACTTGGGAGGAGGAAGCAGGAAGATCAGGAGTTCAAGGCCACCCTGGGCTACAGGAGATTGAACCAGTCTAAAAGAGAAACAGAGCCAGGTGGTGGTGGTGCATGACTTTAATCCCAGCACTAGAGAGGTGGAGACAGGAATATAAGGTGGGTGGAGACAGGATCTCAGTGCCCCATTCAGTCTGAGGACACATAGAGACAGGATTTCCCCCATTCGATGGGAGATTTTATAGAGGTAAAATGTCTCTAGTGGCTGGCTGCTCTGTTTCTCTGATCTCCAGGCAAGCTTTATTTGTCAGAACACAAACAAAATATCATACAACACCTTAGTACATGTGTGAAGATCCAGATGACCTACTGAGATTCAACTGCCTTTCTAGGCATATTGTCCCCAAGAAGGGTTCTGTTTAGTTCTCTCCCAATGACCTTGTCAGTCTCATTAGTTTTGTGAGGAAGAGACATTTAGTGAATACAAAAGAGCCCAGTACACCAAGGGCTGAGGCTGGGGGACATGCCTGGGAGTTAGGCCACATTAAATGGGCAATGTGTTCCAGTATGTAGCATCAACAATAAGTTAACAGGTAGAAGCGATCACATAGGCCTCCATGACTTGCCAGACCTATAGTCCTGGTCAACATGGCAATTATGAAAGAGGAGAAGTAGCTGGAGAAAGATAGGGCCAAGAGGTAATAAGGGAGATTGAAAAGTGAGGGCTAGAAGTGGAATCCCGTGTCTCTGGCACACATGGCTCAGAAGCAGGAGCCTGACTTTTACAATCAATAAACACCGTGCATCAAACCTACAGGCCTAGCCTATGATTGATACCAGACCACTTGTACAGTGAGAGAATCCAGGAGAAGCAGACATGTTTCTGATGAGCCTTGGCTGTGAACCTACTCAAGTAGCTATATAAAGAAGCCACATTGAGGAAGATGATTCCTTAGATTATAATTTCACATTGCAGAAAAGATGAGACAGGCCAGACTATGCCAAGAGTGAGAGAGAGACTCAAGTACTGACAGCACAGAGGACAGACATAGCGTATGGCCAAGATGGGTACCAGGAGAGCTGATCTCCATGAATCCATGTCCTTTATCCTGAGGAAGCTGGGCAGTCTTTTAGGAGAACTCTCAAACCCAGCCTCTGCCTTGGAAGATGAATCAAGAATGCCTCGTAAGGATGGGCCAGAGTGAAGACCCTTTCTCATCCATTAAGTCCAAGGATCCAAGATAAATATCAGGCTTTAACCTTCCTTGACTCAAACATCTAACATGCAGGTCAATGTAAGGAACATAGATTGAAAAGAACCTAAAGACATACATTATATCCTTAATTGCCAGAACATTGCTAGTGCTGCAATAAAGCCAGACTAGAGAACCCTACTAGCTATTCAGCAGTTTACCCAGCGAATGTCCTGTATATAGGGACAAAATGGTCATGAGAGGACCAAAAAGGCACTACTACAAATGTACCAAGGGACCCAGGGACAGGAACTGCATCACCAGAACAGCTTTATAGGCCCTTTATTTATATGTTACATTTGAGTGTAAATGAGAGGGTTGTCCCCTATCAGAGAGACTGGCTCTATCATATATTAAAACCCTAAAATGACCATACCAGTCATTTTAAAATCAGTAGTCAACTTCATAAGGTCCAGATCCCAGAGCATACCTTTATGGCATTATCTTGACAAGGTTAACTGAGGTAGCAAATGGTTCAGCTGTTAGTGCATTGTTCCTGGGGCTGAGATCCATGACTGGAGAAGGAGAAGGTGAGCTGAGCATAAGCACCCCTTTTCTCTATTCTTGGTCTGACTCAGGCTCCTTTGTCTATGGTTTCTCAACAAATATGCACACCATACTCATGACATCATGGCAAAACAAACACTCCTTCTCTGGTATGTTTGGGTCATAGTATTTCATCACACTAACTGGGAAAGTACCTTATGCATACATTCCATGGAAAGCTGCTAAGCACAATGACAGGCTTGGACATTTGGTAGTGATGAATGCTGAAAAGCATTAAGTGTTAAAAGACTGCCTTCAAATGACAGAGCCAGAAACAAGAATACTTAAACCAGACATGACTACCATGACGCCTTTGGAAAGGAAAAGCTCAGAAATCTCCTGCCATGTCCTTGTCTCTACTGTTTTTTCTCATAAGCACAGGGTGTGACACACTACTCCAGGGACCCACTCCCCTTGGGTCAGACCAGAAATGCTGTTATCTGTTTCAAATTTTGTCCTAACTCTTGACAATTTTGACAGTCACCATGTCAATCTTGAGATTATTTATACTCAGTTCACCTACATCACATGTTTCTGGGATAAAGTAATAGAGAGGTTGGCTCACCTATTCCTGCCTGCACCAGGTGATGGGACAGTGACAGAGACAGCAAATTTACAGTATCTACATAGGAAAATACTGCTAATTTATTCAGTTTGTTCATGTACCACACAATATGATCTATAATTATGAAACAATTCAATCAAATTATTGCATTTCAACAGTACCTTCCATTTCACTTTGTGGTGTTTTTCTGCAAGTTTCAGCTTGGGCTTCAGGTCCTTCAGCATCTTTAGGAACAACATTGACCTCCCAATTCAATTTTCCCAAGATCTTCGACCCTGGGAATGCATTCACAACAGGGACAGTTATGTCAGTTTCATGGCATAAAAATAGAGGAATCCAGTAATGGTTCTGTTTGTACATTTCATCTCATGACCCCTCTCCAGGCACTGTCATCAGAGTCAGAGTGGTGTTTCAGGAAATTCTCTGCATGCACTGCACATTCCAGCATGCATGACATTGATGTTGAAGGGAAGTCATAATTCATGTCAGTGTGACAATTCAAGAAGAAGAGCAATGTGACTGTGTTACATTGGCATTGTACCTAATAAGCAGCATCAAAATTTCTCTTAGAGTCAGATAAACACAGTAAAATTTACAAACTCCCTCATTTCTGTGTGGTTTTCACTAAGATGCTATATACTTGACTCCCTATGAGACTTTCCAGTTCAAAACACAAGTATGTATGCACTTGTGTATATATAACCACATAAATTAAAACTCAAAGAAAAGCAGATATATTGCAGATGTTCTCTGTGGTATCTGTTCAATGGCAGAAGAGTCAGCTACATATGAGTGAATCTAGGTAGCATGAGGTTTGTGTTGGTTACTCATGTAACCAACAGCAGAGGATGTATTTATTTTCACTGTTTACCTTCATTCTTTACGTGAGAGGCTAGGAGGGTCCTAGTTTAGCAGAAATTTATGGTCTTCCTCCAATATTTTCAATCTGCCTGGTGCCTCTCAGTGAGCAATTCTCTGGTTAGAGGACCACATTGAGAGGTGAACATTGCATATTTCCTAGAGATGCTGAGATTCAAAGTCACTCAAAGCCAAGTTGTCACATGATGGTTGGGATGAATAGAAACTTCCCTTTCACTAGCCACGCATGGATATGTCCTCATCAGGAACTGACAAGAACAGTAGCCAGGTGCATTGGTAATATAATAAACAGTGCCTGCACACATCACTTTCTAGGTGACATCCTCATTGACCATCTGTACAGCCTTTATTAATTCTAACTAAGATAGGGATAATGACCACAGTAGCACTGAGAATGCCCCATACCTGTTCATGCCTTCCTCACCAAAGTCCTATTTTCTCTACATTGCTGTTTGGTTTATTTTTGAGACAGGATCTCACTATGTATCCATGGCTGTAATAGAACTGCATATGTATATAAACAAACTTTAAACCAAAAACAAAACCCTAAATTCCTTAAAGAATGAGATAGCACTGATAAACATCTAGGTGGTGACCGGAATTCTTAGTTGACACTGTGTAAATTATGTTGCTGTTTGTTTATACTAATATTGTGAACCCACTTAAGCTTTTCTCCAGACCGTATTAAAATGAATCATGTCTATTCAAAAGCCAGTCCCACATCCACCCCAGGCTCCCATGTACATTGTGTTTCATTTTCAAGCTCTGTCATCCAAAAAGAAGTATGTGTACCTTTCAAACTATCTTCTGCCTGCTGAATGAGACTACTTAGGACTTCTAACCGCAACAGCAGTCATTATAGCATTTAAGATTCCTGTAGATTTGCCTTATTGCATGCAGATGCTAGAAGCTAGAACTCTTCCATAGGGATTATTTTGCCTGTGGTGGGGTAAAAGTGGCTCTTGAGATGAGCAGCAAAAGATCTTTATCAATGCTTCTGAATTATGCTTTATTCAGATATGGATGAACACAAAATCATATGCCTGACAAAGCATGGCTAGGATGAAGTTTGAGCACATTTTTGTAGGTAATCTGTACTCTGACTTTTCAATTTACATATCTGTCACTGCAATCTAGGCCAGGAAAATGGCATGCTAATTTTTTGGGGAAAAGATTTAGACACGACTTGGAGTACAATAGACAAGATTTAAAAAAAGAGTTCACTGATGAGCAAAGCAAAGAAATATCTATGAGTTTTAACTTGGTGAGTTATTTCTTCTAATTTTTTTTGTTTAAAAAAAGAAACCCACTACTAAAACCACAATTCTAATTACCAGTTAGCATCTTAGATTATAGTGGTGCATCACACAAAAAATACAACCAGTGTTTTCACAATTCCTATCTAAACTGTGTTTTAGAAAGTGATTAAAAAATACATACCATATCTGCGTTTTCTAGACATCCCCTGTAATCAATAGGAAAGAAAATATTTAATGCCATAATCATGCTGAATAATGTCTGCAAAGCCTTTGGCTTCTCCACTGACACTGTATAATTGAAATCAGGACAGAGAAGAGCACTAAAGAGACTATATTAATGGGCACATTATTTGATGATGCCACAGAAGATCTGGGTCTCTCTACTTTATGACACAAACTATTACCTTTCATACTTTCTCTGATTCAAAGGCAGATCAGGCAAATCAGTCTGGCCTCTAGAGGGTTGCAAAACCTGTATCACATACCATCTATGAAAACTTGTATTTTTCACTAAGGTGTTTTCTGTTTCTAGGGACTATGGTTTACAAATATCTTGAGTATATGGTCCAAAGTTTAATGTGTTGGAAGCTCAGTGTGTCCAGATTGGATGGCCAGCATTCAGTTGGTAAGATCTTTAAACCATGAGGATTAGTGGTCTGTGGCTTTGTGTTTTCTTGTAAGCATTGAGCATTGAGGAATGCAGAATTTTTTTATGTGCATTGGTGTTTTACTTGCATGTATGTCTGTGTGAGGGTATCAGGTCCCCTGGAACTGAAGTTACAGACATGTGAGCTGTCATGTGGGTGCTGGGAATTGAACCTGGGTCCTCTGGAAGAGCAGTCAGTGCTCTTAACCACTGAGCCATCTCTCCAGCCCTAGAATGCAGAATTTTAATTGTAACTTCGCCAGTATTTCTATCTAGAGACCTGCTGCCATTTTTGTCTTCTATGAAATTATTGTTGCCAAGGAAGACAGGATTATAGTTTTGTCTGACAGACTGAGATAGCATGGTGCTGTGGGATGTTCTGTATGTCAAATGTGTTGCTGATTAGTCAATAATTAAAACACTGATTGGCCATTGGCTAGGCAGGAAGTGTAGGCGGGACAAGGAGGAGAATAAAGCTGGGAAGTGGAAGGCTGAGTCAGAGAGACAATGCCAGCTGCCACGATGACAAACAGCATGTGAAGATGCCGGTAAGCCACAAGCCATGTGGCAAGGTACAGACTTATAGAAATGGATTAATTTAAGCTGTAAGAACAGTTAGCAAGAAGCCTGCCACGGCCATACAGTTTGTAACCAATATAAGTCTCTGTGTTTACTTGGTTGGGTTTGAGCAGCTGTGGGACTGGCAGGTGAGAGAGATTTGTCCTGACTGTGGGCCAGGCAGGAAAACTCAAGCAACAAATGGCGTCCAACGTGGTGGCAAGAGTTTCCACCTAAAAACTGAGAAAAAAAGATTCTAAAATGGAGCTAAAAACAGCTTCCTAATTGTCTCTCTCAAATGAGCGGCAGCTGCCGGTTTGAGCTACTTGTGGGTTTCTGTTGTGCGTGCTCGACCTGCAGTTTGGCGGGAATGAGGCCTCTGCAAGTGGCACATTAAGCTGCATGGTGGATTTAGCCTTTGCAGGTACAAAACAAAAAAAAGAGGTTTCTGGGCTACACGCTGCTTGGATAAAAGCATAGAGACCCACGATAGCTCCCAGAGCTGGTGGAAAATGCCATGTTGGGAAGCTAAGGTGGGTGGAGCCAGCAGCTACAGCTGCTGCAGTTTAAGGCAATAGATTCACAATAAGACAGATTCAGATGTAATAGTTTACAATATGTGTAAAATATACGTAGGCTTAAAAGAGACAAAAAAGGTGATATATAGAGTTATAGAAACAAATACATAGTTTTAAAAAATAAAGTCTTTAAAGAGACAGTAAAGGTAGTATAAAAAATAAGCCATGTAAAAATGGATATTACACAGAGAATCTGCATTGTCTTGTCTTTGGGACTTTTAACTGCAGAAAAACATTTCATTGTAAAAGCTGTTGAGTTACGCCAAAATGTATATTTTAAAGGTATCTTGACTTCAAAATTTGAATATAAGGATATGTTACTTTGGAAAGGAGACTCTGCTTTTGTTCCCACAGAAAGCCAGAGGCTATGGATTTGTTCCAGATTAAGATACATCAGGTTTGACCAGCCAAGACCCCCTGAAAGGTCTCCGATGACACCATGGCCCAGATGATCCAACATCCAGAATGGTTTGAAGGCAACTGGCTCAGACGATACACCCTCATGGACTTTTCCATGATCCTAAAATTTTCTTTGTATCCCCATAAGATACAGCGCCCCCCTCCAGCAGGAAGTAGTAAGAGAAGCTACGCCCAAATTCCCAAATTATATGTAATTTTACTTTGTTAAGGTTAAAACCTTCTTTTTTTTTAAAAAAAAAAAGGGGGGAAGTGCTGTGGGATGTTCTGTATGTCAAATGTGTTGCTGATTAGTCAATAATTAAAACACTGATTGGCCATTGGCTAGGCAGGAAGTGTAGGCGGGACAAGGAGGAGAATAAAGCTGGGAAGTGGAAGGCTGAGTCAGAGAGACACTGCCAGCCGCCAAGATGACAAACAGCATGTGAAGATGCCGGTAAGCCACAAGCCATGTGGCAAGGTACAGACTTATAGAAATGGATTAATTTAAGCTGTAAGAACAGTTAGCAAGAAACCTGCCACAGCCATACAGTTTGTAATCAATATAAGTCTCTGTGTTTACTTGGTTGGGTTTGAGTGGCTGTGGGACTGGCAGGTGAGAGAGATTTGTCCTGACTGTGGGCCAGGCAGGAAAGCTCAAGCAACAGCATGGTGTATTCTTGGTTATCAAAATACTCATGTAGCATGGGGTTTTTTAGTTGGTGAATATTCGCAATGTGGGGGAAAGCATGGTATATGCTGTATAATCTCAATTCCCTAAATGTGTGTACACTTGCAGCATCTAGAAGGACACATCAAGCTGAGCTGCTTGTGACTGGGTGGCTCTTCTTGGCTTCTTGTGTTTTGTTTCCTGTAATGCACACATACTACAAATAAATGCTTCTTTTAAAAGCTTAAAAAAAAGAAAAAAAGAAGCACCCACCTTGATGGGGTCACTCATAAAACAGGATACAAAGTTGTGCCACATTGTGATGTATGCTATCTTGACTCAAGACCAAATTGGTACAGTTCTATTCCCTCCTCTTCCTATATAAACTCTCTAATATCCATCAATGCCTCAGATCAGTTTAATGATTCGAATATGATACCCACTGAAACACAAGGGGACTACTGAGGCAACCTTTCTACCTCAGAGAAAGAAAAGGCCCTCTTACCTTCACCATTCTAATTGGAGGCTTTCGTTCGTACACTGATGTACTTGTGTTGTCTGTAGATTCAGGAGATTCTAAGAGAACAGAAAGTGACTCTCAGCTCACAGAACTGATTATTATTTGCATGAGATCTTTGTTTGATGTGAGTAAGAGCACACAGACTTGGTACATTTTACTAAACATAATGAACAAAATGGTTGGGCTGTTGCTGGACTGTCTTGGTACATTTTACTAAACCTAATGAACAATATGGTTAGGCTGTTGCCTGACTGTCTTCCAGGAAGACAAACTAAGGCAGAGAGAAGATCTGGAGACAAATGAGGAATAGAATATTTTTCTTTGTAGGGAATGGGAATCTAAAGCTGTGTAAAAAAATCTGTTATATGGTGTAAAGATGAAATCTTCCAAAAAAATTTTTATACTTATTCTGTTCAGGGACTCAACAGCTGGCAGTGCATCCAGCAGAAGTGAATCTTATGTACCTGGTTCTCTCAGTCAACTATGTAGGTTCCAGGTTCAAAATCTTGATCTCAATCTTTAAAGAAAGTGCCTTGACTGCTGAGCTCTCACTGACTCCATAAAACAAATCTTATGATAAAAATCACAGAGTACAATCAGTCCCTGTGATGATTTTGAGTGCAAAGTAATTGCTACTGTCTTCAACCTCAGCTGGCCACCAGCAGACTTTTACCTATGTACATATAGTAAAGGTCTGCTCCACAACTTTACCAGAGACTCAACTACTTTTCCAGGCATGTTTCTCTGAGAAGGGTTCTTTTCTGTTCTCTACTCTTATTTTTTCAATCTCATGAGCTTTGTGAGAGATAGACATTTAGGGATTAAAGACCTAGAACACCCAGGACTGAAACTGGGCATTTGTCTGTGAGTTAGGCCACATTGCCTTGACAATGTGTTCCAGTACACAGTACCAATAAGGTAACTGGAAGAATGAACTACATAGCCTTCTATGGCTTTCCAGAGCTACATTTCCCAATCAAATGGCAATTATGAAAGAGAAGTGGCTGGAGAAGAATAGGAGCAAGAGGTAATAAGAAGGGATATTGAAAATACAGACCCTTTTTTATCCATTAAGGCAAAGGATCCAAGATGGATGTCAGCCTGTAACCTCCCTTGACTCAAATCACCCAGCATGCCAGTTAAAGTTATAAGCATAGATTGCTAAAAGGTAAAGCTATACATTAGCCCTTTACTTGTCAGGACATTGCTAGGGTTGCAATAAGGCCATACTAAAGAAGCCTGCTAGCTACTTAACAGTTTACCCTGTGGATGTCCTATAAAGCAGGACTAAATGGTCAAGAAAGAACCAAGAAGGACACTGTTACCAAAGTCCCAAGGGACCATGGGAACAAGATTTGCTTATTTTATATCACCAAGACCACTTTGTAAGACCTTTATCTATAGGTACATTTGCATGCACAGAAGAGGGTTGTTCCCCACCAGAGAGACTGGCTCTACCATAGATTAAAATGTTGTGCGATATTTGTACAGTGTGTGAAGATGTATCACTGTGATTGGTTTAATAAAGAGCTGAATGAAATAGCTAGGCAGGAAAAGGTTAGGTGGGACTTTCAGGGACAGAAAAGACTGAAAAAAAAGAAAAGGAGGAGTCACCAGGCAGACATGGATTGGGAACAGGAGGTATAAGATAGAAGAATAGAGGTAATGCTAACTGATAGAACATAGATTAATATAAGTAGGTTAATTTAACTTATAAGAACCAGTTAGGCACAAGCCTAACCTATAGGCTGAGCTTTCATAATTAAAAGGAAGTCTTGATTTTGTTATTTATGAGCTAGCAGCCCAAAGAAAAATCTGACTACATATGGCACTCAACATGGGGCACGAACCCATTACCCTGAGATTACAAGTCTCATACTCCACCGACAGAATTAGCCAGGCTGAGACATTGAGTGAACCTAATCATAACCACTAGACCACAAGGGAGGCTAGGCTGGTGAGCCAGCCAGGAGCATCCTCATGGCATGATTTCCTTCCTATTTTTGCTTCTGTCTTTTAGTCTACCCTTTTAACTAGGGAAATATTAGGAATGTACTAAGCTCATCCTCCATGACTTCATTTCATTGTCCATTTTGGAGTCATATATTTTCCTTCTTAGTGCTGTGGTATCTGAGTGATCATATTGGGTCTTGATATGGAAGCCTTAAGATGTACTCCCTAATATTTTCTATATTATTCTCCTTCCTTCCTTCCTTTGGGCTGCAAGCTCACACCTAACAAAATAATTTCCTTCTTATTAATTAGGAAAGCTTGGCATATAGCTTATGCCTGTTCCTAGCTAGCTCTTATAACTTAAATTAACCCATTTATATTAATCTATGTTCGATCATATGCCATTACTTATCTTCTATCTTGCACCTCCTGTTTCTTCTCTGTGTCTATCAGGTGACTCCACCTTTTCTTTTTTTCCAGGACTCTCATTGTCCCCAGAAGTCCCACCTAACCTATTCCTGTCTAGTTATTGGCCATTCAGTTCTTTATTAAACCAACCACAGTGACACATCTTCATACAGTGTAAATATCCAACATCAATACCCTAAAATGACCACAAAAGTTTGTGAGCACTGTGATAGTTAATATCAGTACTCAACTGATAAGGTCAACTCATAATGCCTGGATGACATTATCTTGACAAGGTTAACTGAGGTAGCAAATGGTTCAGCTGTTAGTGCATTGTTCCTGGGGCTGAGATCCATGACTGTAGAAGGAGAAGGTGAGCTGAGCATTTTCTCTATTCTTGGTGCACTGGACCTCTGACTCAGGCTCCTTTGTCTATGGTTTCTCAACAAATATGCACACCATACTCATGACATCATGGCAAAACAAACACTCCTTCTCTGGCATGTTTGGGTCATAGTATTTCATCACACTAACTGGGAAAGTACTTTATGCACACATTCCATGGAAAGCTGCTAAGCACAATGACAGGCTTGGACATTTGGTAGTGATGAATGCTGAAAAGCATTAAGTATTAAAAGACTGCCTTCAGCTGCAAATAGATCCATATCTATCACCGTGCACAAAACTTAAGTCCAAGTGGATCAAGGACCTCAACATAAATCCAGCTACTCTGAACCTGCTAGAAGAGAAAGTAGGAAGTAGTCTTGAATGCATTGGCATAGGAGACTACTTCCTAAATAGAACACCAGTAGCACAGACTCTGAGAGAAACAATCAATCAATGGGACCTCTTGAAACTGAGAAGCTTTTGTAGAGCAAAGGATACGGTCAACAAGGCAAAGCGACAGCCTACAGAATGGGAAAAGATCTTCACCAACCCCACATCTGACAGAGGACTGATATCCAGAATATATAAGGAATTCAAGAAATTAGACATCAAAATGCCTAACAGTCCAATTAAGAAATGGGCTATAGAACTAAACAGAATTCTCAACAGAGGAAACTCAAATGGCCGAAAGACATTTAAGGAATTGCTCAACATCCCTAATCATCAGGGAAATGCAAATCAAAACAACTCTGAGATACCACCTTATGCCTGTCAGAATGGCTAAGATCAAAAACACTGAGGACACCTTATGCTGGAGAGGATGTGGAGCTAGGGGAACTCTCCTCCACTGCTGGTGGGAATGCAAGCTTGTACAACCACTTTGGAAATCAATATGGCGCTTTCTTAGAAAATTGGGAATCCATCTCCCCCAAGATCCAGCTATACCACTCTTGGGCATATACCCAAGAAATGCTCAACCACACCATAAGAGCACTTGTTCAGCTATGTTCATATCAGCATTGTTTGTAATAGCCAGAACATGGAAACAACCCAGATGCCCTTCAACTGAAGAATGGATAAACAAAATGTGGTACATATACACAATGGAATACTACTCAGCAGAGAAAAACAATGGCATCATGAGGTTTGCAGACAAATGGATGGATCTAGAAAAAATCATCCTGAGTGAGGTAACCCAGACTCAGAAAGACAAACATGGTATGTACTCACTCATAGCAGGATACTAGACATGAAACAAGGATGACTTGTCTGCTACTCACATCACCAGGGAGGCTACCTGGAAAACAGGACCCCAAGAAAGACACAGGGATCGCCCAATGACAGAGAAATGGAATGAGATCTACATGAACAGCCTGGACATGAGTGGGGGTAATGAAAGGCGAGGGTTGAGGGAAAGAGAGCTTGGGGGAGCAGGAGATCCCAGCTGGATCAACAACAGAGAGGGAGAACAAGGAATAGGAGACCATGGTAAATGAAGACCACATGAGAATAGGAAGAAGCAAAGTGCTAGAGAGGCCCACAGAAATCCACAAAGATACCCACACAACAGACTGCTGGCAATGGTCGAGAGACAGCCCGAACTGACCTACTCTGGTGATGGGATGGCCAAACACCCTAATTGTTGTGCTAGAAACCTCATCCAACTACTGAGGGATCTGGATGCAGAGATCCATGACTAGGCCCCGGGTGGATCTCTGGGAGTCCAATTAGCGAGAATGAGGAGGGTTTATATGAGCGAGAATTGTTGAGACCAAGGTTGGATAAAGCACAGGGACAAATAGCCAAATGAATGGAAACACATGAACTATGAACCAATGGCTGAGGGGTCCCCACTGGATCAGTCCCTCCGAATGGGTGAGACAGTTGATTGGCTTGATCTGTTTGGGAGGCATCCAGGCAGTGGGACCAGATCTTGTGCTCATTGCATGAGTTGGCTGTTTGAAACCTGGGGCCTATGCAGGATTGTTTGGCTCGGCCTGGGAGGAGGGGACTAGACCTACCTGGACTGAGTCTACCAGGTTGACCTCAGTCTATGGGGAAGGCTTTGCCCTGGAGGAGATGGGAATGGGGGGGGGGGGGGTTGGGGGGAAGGTGAGGGGGATGGGAGGGGGGGAGAACAAGGGAATCCGTGGCTGATATGTAGAACTGAATTGTATTGCAAAATAAATTAAAATAAATTAAAAAAAAAGACTGCCTTCAAATGACAGAGCCAGAAACAAGAATACTTAAACTAGTCTACATGATGCCTTTGGAAAGGAAAAGCACAGAAACTTCCTGCTATGTCCTTGTCTCTACTGTTCTTTCTCATAAGCACAGGGTGTGACACACTACTCCAGGGACTCACTCCCTTTGGGTCAGACCAGAAATGCTGTTATCTGTTTCAAATTTTGTCCTAACTCTTGACAATTTTGACAGTCACCATGTCAATCTTGAGATTATTTATACTCAGTTCACCTACATCACATGTTTCTGGGATAAAGTAATAGAGAGTTTGGCTCACCTATTCTTGCCTGCACCAGGTAAAGGGACAATGACAGAGACAAGATTGAGTTCACCTTTCCTCTGTTTCTTGTTACTCAACAATTGCAAAAGATGAATTTCAATTTAATTCTTAAATTGTATGGTTGAACTTCAAGTGTCCCTTCCATTTTACTTTGTGGTCTTTCTATGGAAGTACCAGCATGGACTTGAGGTCCTTCAGCATCCTCAGGAGCAAGAACATGCTTCTGATAGTTTTTCCCAAGATACTGGACACTAAGAGTACATTAACAGCAGAAACAATCATGTCAGCTTCACTCCAGGAAAACAGAGGAGGTCAGTAATGGTTCTATGTTTGTACATTCCATGTGCTGTAGAATCTCATTCTGTATGCTGTGAATGTGTCTTGCTCTGATTGGTTGATAAATAAAAAAATGCTGATTGGCCAGTAGCCAGGCAAGAAGTATAAGCCGGATAAGCAGATAAGGAGAAGTCTGTGAAGAGAAAGGCTTCTCCAGGCACTGTCATCACAGCCTTGGTGGTGTTCCAGGAAGGTCACTGAGTGCACTGCATGGTACAGCATGCACTGCATTCGTGGTGTAGTCAAGTCATAAATTCATGTCAGTGCAACAGTGTTAAAAGAGCAACATGACTATGTTAAGTTGGCTTTTACCTGATGAGCAGGGTCAATGCCTCTCTTGGAGTTGCATAAATATGGTAACACTTATAAACTCCCTTCTTTCTGAATAGTGTTCACTAGGGTGCTATATACTGACACACTATGAGACTTTCAGCCCAAAACATATAGATATACAAGTATATATCCATCCATCCATATATCCATCCATACACACACACACACACACACACACACACACACACACACACACACACACACACAGCTTGCCCTCAAGGAAATGGACATATATTACAGAATTGCTCTGTAGTATCTGTTACTGGCAGAAGAGTCAGCTACATATGAGTGAATCTAGGTAGCATGAGGTTTGTGTTGGTTACTCATGTAACCAACAGTAGAGAATGTATTTATTTTCACTGTTTACCTTCACTGTTTACATGAGAAGCTATAGGAGGGCACTAGTTTAGCAGAAATATGTTGCTTGCATATTTTCTAGAGATGCTCAGATTCAAACTCACTCAAAGCAAATTGTTACATGATGGTTGGGATGGATACAAACTTCCCTTCCACTAGCCAGGCCTGGATATGCCCTCTTCACACACTGACAAGAACAGCAGCCATGTGTGTAGTTGGAAGTTTTCCAGTGTCCCACCTGGCCCTACATGGTCCAGAGAAATCTTTCTAACCCACAGTCCTGCAGCTGCTTATAAAATAATCACTCAGAAGCTTATATTAATTATAACTTCTGTATGGCCATTAGCTCAGGCTTATTACTGACCAGCTCTTATACTTAAATTAACCCATAATTCTTATCTATGTTTAACCACATGGCTTCACATCTTGTTTCCTCTGTGTCTGGTGACTCCTGACTCAGCCTTTCTCTTCACAGAATTCTCCTTATCTGCTTATCCGGCTTATACTTCTTGCCTGGCTACTGGCCAATCAGCATTTTTTTATTTATCAACCAATCAGAGCAAGACACATTCACAGCATACAGAATGAGATTCTACAGCACAGGTGCATTAGTAATATAATAAATAGTGCCTGTACCTATCACTATCTAGGTGACATCCTCATTGACCATTTGTATAGCCTTTATTAATTCTAGCTAAGATAGGGGTAATGACTATAGAAGCACTGAGAGTGCCCCATACCTGTTCATGCCTTTCTCATCAACGTCCTATTTTCTCAATATTGCTATGTTTTCTTTTTTTTTCAGAAAAGATCTCTGTAGTTTTTTTTGTTTTTTAAATTTTGTTCTTTGGGGGCCCATCATCCAGCTCCCAAATAAATCACAGAGGTGTAGTCTTCCTTATGAATGCCTGGCCTTAGCCTGGCTTGTTTCTAGCCAACTTTTCTTAAATTATCCCATCTACCTTTGTCTCTGAGCTTTTATCTTTCTCTATTTCTATATACCTTTCTTTACTTCTTACTCTGTAGCTTACTGTGTAGCTGGATGGTTGCCCCCGGTGTTCTCTCCTTTTCTTGCTCCTTGATATTTCTTCTAAGATTTCTCCTCCAATTTATTCTCTCTTCCTGTCAGCCCTCCTTATCCTTTCTCCTGCCCAGCTGTTGGCCATTCAGCTCTTTATTAGACCAATCAGGTGTTTTAGGGAGACAAAGTAACATAAAAGAATGCAATACAATTTTGCATCATTAAATAAATATCCCACAGCATAAACAAATGTAACACATCTCAAGCTAATATTCCACAACACATCAGGTATTTGGCATTTCCTTCAATCTGCAGAGACAGCCCTGCTGTGGAGTAATCCTGTGTATACTACTAAGATTTGTCACTGTGATTGTTTTAATAAAGATGACTGACCAATAGCTGAACAGGATAAGATTAGGCAGGAGAGTCAAACTGAGAATGCTGGGAAGAGGAAGGGCAGAGTCAGAGGAGTTGCCAGCCAGATGTACAGGGAGCAAGGGATTTATGTGCCATGCTAATAAAGGTACCACCATATGGCAGAGCATAAATATATGAGTTAACTTAAAATGTAAGCGCTAGTTAGTAATAAGCCTGAGCTATTGGCCAAGCATTTATAAGTAATCAAGTCTTCATGTTGATTATTTGGGAGCAGGTGGTCAGGAGAGGAAAACTCTGCCTACAAATGGCACCCAGCTTCCAGGGCCATATTCATCCACATAAAGCCTGAGAAAGCTATCTAAAGGGTTCTAAATGCATAGAAACAGAGCCAGACATGACTTCCTAGTGTTGTATCTCTCTACCTGCCACAGTACAGAGACACATTTCCTGGCAACTGCCAGCACATCATGAGCTAAGCCACATGGTGGGTTCCCACAGTCTCTCACATGGGCCATGGTACAAAGAGATGTCTCCCGGCAGCATGCTGTATGGTGGGTTTAAGGCTTTTGCACATGCAGACCAAAGAAGGTTACAGATACACAGTAAAGGCAGATCCAGATTAAAAAGACTTCTAAATGGGTAACAGCATATTTAAAAGTATACACAGGTGAGACAGATAAGGCCCATACACCAAATGAACAGGCTCAGGCTCAAGTAAAAAAAGCTGTGACATGCACAGTAGCACCTTGACCCAGAGGAGACAAACTGGACCCCCAGGAAGACAACTTCCGATGTAAGACCCAGGGCCAAATCAAGAAATGCAACAACAGAAATAGAAGCAAAGCCCACTAAACAGTCCACACATAAATACCTCAGCCCCTTGTTTAATAAACAAGCTTGCTTGCAACCTCCTGGAGTCTATGTTGTTAACTCTGCATCTTCTCACGCCCTGCCCACAAGGGTACCTGGGTTGGCAGAGCCAGAACATCAACACATAGGCTTGGGAGAGAAAAGACAAAGCATAGAGAAAGTCCATTAAGAATATTTTAAAAACTATAGTAAGCCACATAAAGATGGTAAATAAACAGAGAGTATGGATCTTGTATGCTATTCTCTTTGTTTTAAATTTTTGTCTGCTAAGAGACATTGAATTATGAACACTGCTAGGTTCAACCAACCTATATATTTTAAAAATACCTTGACTTGAAAATTTAAGTCAAAAGATGTGTTGCTTTGGGGGAGAGGTGCTTTCATTTCCACAGTAAATGAGAGGCTGTGGACTCATTCCAGGTAAAAAAAAATCAGGTTAGATCCAGGAAGACCCCCTGAAATCCTGACTGCAGACATAAAGAAATAAACCTAAAAGAACAAGACACATGATGTATATTTTACTTGCTCAAACACATAACAAAAAATCATCTTTGGCTGACTTGTGTACAATGCACAATCTATATTTATATTGATACAGATATGAATGTTACCTTTAAAAGTTTATGTATTTTCAGAACAAGGGAACCAGACACCAATTAAAATGGATGGACCAGGTGATCCAGCATCCAAAACAGCTTCAAGGCTCCTGAGATGACCCAGCCTCCCAGAATACTCCAGCCAAGACTTAACAATTATCCTGATTTTCTCAAAGTTCTCTCAAAGATTACCAGTGCCCCCAGACAACAGGAAGCAGTCTAGATAAAACAACATCCACATTCCCAAAATATTGGCTATGGATGTTTGTTTTCATTTTAGGGGGGTTGGTTACAAGTTGTTATTGGTAATGGTCAAGAAAAAAAGCTGAACAAAGGAGATTAGATTCAAGAATCCTCTTCCGAAAAGAAAAAGAGGGGATATAAAAATAATAGAATAAAAGGGTTGATTATTGTATCTACATTTAAACCAAATGCAACTACTAGTCTTAAGTATTTTACACTGGTATGGATTTTTGTATATTGATACAAATTTAAAGTTAATTTTGTAATACTCTTGTTTGATTATTATGCTGATGCAACTCATTTAAAAATGTAATGTATAGTTCGGGCTTTCTCTCAACCATTGCCAGTAGTCTGTTGTGGAGGAATCTTTATGGATTTCTGGGGACCTCTCTAGCACTTTGCTTCTTCCTATTTCCATGGGGTCTTCATTTATCATGGTCTCTTTTTCCTTGTTCTCCCTCTCTGTTCTTGATCCAGCTGGGATCTCCCACTCCCCTAAGCTCTCTTTCCCTCGACCCTTGCCCTTCATTAGCCCCCTCTCATGTCCAGTTTGCTCATGTAGATTTCATCCATTTCTCTGTCGTTGGGTGATCCCTGTGTCTTTCTTAGGGTCCTCTTTTCTAGGTAGTCTCCTTGGAGTTGTGAGTAGCAGTCTAGTCATCCTTTGTTTTACATCTAGTATCCACCTATGAGTGAGTACATACCATGTTTGTCTTTCTGAGTCTGGGTTACCTCACTCAGGATGATTTTTTCCTAGATCCATCCATTTGTCTGCAAACCTTATGATGTCATTGTTTTTCTCTGCTGAGTAGTACTCCATTGTGTATATGTACAACATTTTATTTATCCATTGTAGCTAGAGTTTTCCTGCCTGGCCCACAGTCAGGACAAATCTCTCTCACCCGCCAGTCCCACAGCCGCTCAAAACCGACCAAGTAAACACAGAGACTTATATTGCTTACAAACTGTATGGCCGTGGCAGGCTTCTTGCTAACTGTTCTTGCAGCTTAAATTAATCCATTTCCATTAATCTATACCTTGCCACATGGCTCGTGGCTTACTGGCATCTTCACATGCTGTTTGTCATCGTGGCGGCTGGCAGTGTCTCTCTGACTCAGCCTTCCACTTCCCAACTTTATTCTCCTCCTTGTCCCGCCTACACTTCCTGCCTAGCCAATGGCCAATCAGTGTTTTATTTATTGACTAATCAGCAACACATTTGCCATACAGAACATCCCACAGCAATCCATTCTTCAGTTGAAGGGCATCTAGGTTGTTTCCAGGTTCTGGATGTTACAAATGATGCTGCTATGAACATAGCTGAGCATGTGCCCTTGTGGTGATCGGATGGCCAAACACCCTAACTGTCGAGGTAGAACTCTCATGCAATGACTGATGGAAGCTGATACAGAGATCTGCTGTGGGATGTTCTGTATGTCAAATGTGTTGCTGATTAGTCAATAATTAAAACACTGATTGGCCATTGGCTAGGCAGGAAGTGTAGGCGGGACAAGGAGGAGAATAAAGCTGGGAAGTGGAAGGCTGAGTCAGAGAGACACTGCCAGCCGCCACGATGACAAACAGCATGTGAAGATGCCGGTAAGCCACAAACCATGTGGCAAGGTACAGACTTATAGAAATGGATTAATTTAAGCTGTAAGAACAGTTAGCAAGAAGCCTGCCATGGCCATACAGTTTGAAACCAATACAAGTCTCTGTGTTTACTTGGTCGGGTCTGAGCGTCTGTGGGACTGGCAGGTGAGAGAGATTTGCCCTGACTGTGGGCCAGGCAGGAAAACTCTACCTACAAATGGCGTCCAACGTGGTGGCAAGAGTTTCCACCTAAAACCTGAGAAAAAAGATTCTAAAACGGAGCTAAAAACAGCTTCCTAATTGTCTCTCTCAAATGAGCGGCAGCTGCCGGTTTGAGCTACTGGCGGGTTGCTGGCGTGCGCGATCGACCTGCAGTATGGCGGGAATGAGTCCTCTGCAAGTGGCACATTAAGCTGCGTGGTGGATTTAGCCTTTGCAGGTACAAAACAAAAAAAGAGGTTTCTGGGCTATACACTGCTTGGATAAAAGCATAGACCCACGATAGCTCCCAGAACTGGCGGTAAACCACTGCCATGTTGGGAAGCTGAGGTGGGCGGAGCCAGCAGCCACAGCTGCTGCAGTTTAAAGCAAGAGATTCACAATAAGACAGATTCAGATGTAATAGTTTGCAATGTGTGTAAAAGATACGTAGGCTTGAAAGAGACAAAAAAGATGATATATAGAGTTATAGAAACAAATACATAGTTTTAAAAAATAAAGTCTTTAAAGAGACAGTAAAGGTAGTATAAAAAATAAGCCACGTAAAAATGGATATTACACAGAGAATCTGGATTGTGTTGTCTTTGGGATTTTTAACTGCAGAAAAACATTTGATTGTAAAAGCTGTTGAGTTATGCCAAAATGTATATTTTAAAGGTAACTTTACTTCAAAATTTGGATATAAGGATATGTTGCTTTGGAAAGGAGATTCTGCTTTTGTTCCCACAGAAAGCCAGAGGCTATGGATTTGTTCCAGATTAAGATACATCAGGTTTGACCAGCCAAGACCCCCTGAAAGGTCTCTGATGACACCATGGCCCAGATGATCCAACATCCAGAATGGTTTGAAGGCAACTGGCTCAGACGATACACCCTCATGGACTTTTCCATGATCCTAAAATTTTCTTTGTATCCCCATAAGATACAGCGCCCCCCTCCAGCAGGAAGTAGTAAGAGAAGCTACGCCCAAATTCCCAAATTATATGTAATTTTATTTTGTTAAGGTTAAAACCTTCCTTTTTTAAAAAAAAAAGGGGGAAGTGCTGTGGGATGTTCTGTATGTCAAATGTGTTGCTGATTAGTCAATAATTAAAACACTGATTGGCCATTGGCTAGGCAGGAAGTGTAGGCGGGACAAGGAGGAGAATAAAGCTGGGAAGTGGAAGGCTGAGTCAGAGAGACACTGCCAGCCGCCACGATGACAAACAGCATGTGAAGATGCCGGTAAGCCACAAGCCATGTGGCAAGGTACAGACTTATAGAAATGGATTAATTTAAGCTGTAAGAACAGTTAGCAAGAAGCCTGCCATGGCCATACAGTTTGAAACCAATACAAGTCTCTGTGTTTACTTGGTCGGGTCTGAGCGTCTGTGGGACTGGCAGGTGAGAGAGATTTGCCCTGACTGTGGGCCAGGCAGGAAAACTCTACCTACAGAGATCCACAGCCAGGCCCCAGGTGGAGCTCCGGGAGTCCAATCGGCAAGAAAGAGGAGGGATTGTATGAGCGAGAATTGTTGAGACCATGATTGGAAAAAGCACAGGAACAAATAGCCAAACTAGTGGAAACACATGAACTATGAACCAATAGCTGAGGAGCCCCCAACTGGATCAGGCCCTCTAGATAATTGAGACAGTTGATTAGCTTGAATGGTTTGGGAGGGCCCCAGGCAGTGGGACCAGGACCTGTCCTCAGTGGTTTGGAACCTGGGGCCTATGCAGGGACACTTTGCTCAGCCTGGGTGAAGGGAGGAGGGGACTGGAACTGCCTCAACTGAATCTACCAGGCTGAGCTGAATCCCCAGGGGAGTCCTTGCTCTGAAGGACATGGGAATAGGGGGTGGGCTGGGGGGAGGTTTGGAGGAGGGAGGACAGGGGAATCTGTGGCTGATATGTGAAATTGCATTAAATGATAAAATAAAAATTGTAATGTATAATTAAAAATACAGATTAAGCTGGGTAGTGGTGGTGTAGGCCTTTAATCCCAGCACTTGGGAAGCAGAGTCAGGTGGATCTCTGTGAGTTAAAGGCCAGCCTGGTCTACAAAGCAATTTCCAGGACAGGTTCCAAAACAACACAGGGAAACCCTGTCTCGAAAACAAAACAAAACAAAAAATACAGATCAACAGTCATCTACAACAGTCAAACTTATAGTCACATTAGATATGTTTTCAAGTCATAAACAGATATATTTAGATAGATATATAGTATTCAGACACTTCAAAGACCTATAGAATATGTCATTTAATATGTTTAATAACCTAAAGCTTTTCATGACAGTGAGACCCGTCTGCTCCTGGAAGCACCAATCTACTTCAGAGATGATGGGCCTCAAGGAAACTCCATATAGAGTTTGCTTTATTTATTGCAAAATCTAGCCATGTGGGCAAAGAAAATGACCTTGCCTCAATTGTTGACAGTTATGTCCAAACTGGACCAGCAGGATGCAAGAAAGGTGACTGTGGAACTTTGTCAAGACAA